TCCCCATACATTTCCTTATAACAGGACACCACAGAAACCAAGCTTGGGCTACCTGTGAAGCATCACGCTTTTGAAATGGATGGCTTACTCAGTTACAGACCGCTGAGACGACGTGCTAAGAATAAATCTTAACCGTTTCCGTTTTCGCTATTGGCTATTTATTATTCCAAAAATATGACTTAAAGCCTGTTAATTAAACCGCTTACATGATAAGAAATTCAAGAAAGCACTTAACAATAATTTCAAATAAGTTTTGAATAAGATTTCAGTTATAGATGGAGAGCGAGCAATGAGTGCAATAATTACAATAAGTGTGTTTGCCAAGCAGTCTTTGACGCCCTGTTTTATGCATTCAGTGTTTGGGCTCTATACATGTAGTTCAATTATTATTATTCTTTTCTACGTATACATATGCAGTCAATGTCATTAACGTTGTCCACCAAAAAAAGACACATTTACACATTTACACATTTAGACTAAAAGAAATATCACGTGTTTCCTCGAAGGTTCTGGCATAAAACAAATCCTGAAATACCATTCTCCATCTTAAATCCTCACTAAATGGTCAGGGCATTCTGAATTTTCGATTCACGTGAGTTGAATTTTACATTTAAAGTTCAGGCTGACGCACACGAGGCAAAGAATACATAATGAAACACGTGATATATCTTTTAGTCTAAATGTGTAAATGTGTAAGGCCTAGGGCAAACGTCGAACTTTCCATGCACCGAACTCATTAAAAACAATGGATATCAGGTAATAATGAGGCGACATTCTTTGATGTAATTAAGTTCGGTGCATGAAAAGTTCGACGTTTGCCCTAGGCCTAAATGTCTTTTTTCGGTGGACAACGTTAATGACATTGACTGTATTAGCAGTATCCTTTTGAAAATCACACATTATGACATTGACTTACTGTATAAATATAAAAACCATTCAATCATTCATTCATTCACGTGATAAAACTAAGAAATTAATCTTTGGCACACCTAATATGGCGGCTCTGAGCCAGCTACGTGTTGGGAGAAAATATTAGGTTAACTCTATCGAAACTCTTGAAAATCTTTTTTGATAATATTAAAGCTAGATATGAAAACAACTTTGTTTGGATTGAATAAATTAGTCGTGAATAGAAGCGACTTCGATTTGTCGACAAGCACGATTGATCATCCGTTCAATTTGACTAAGTAAGAGATGACTATGATCAACGATTTACGTTAAAGACCTCTTATACTGGTTAGACGACAAGGCACAAGTATGTGGTTCATAAGAATGACAGTTAGCTCCTTGGAACAACTTGAAACCTGTTATAAAGCTCGAGGTTAAAATTTTCTCACGGAACTCATTCACCAGATCAAAAAAACATGACCTATGGGCCGCCTTGCTCATTGGCCATGTTCTGTGGATGTATCATAATACGATCATGATTCTACAAGCAACAGGGGTCATGAAGGAAGACGAAAAAACCCAGCAAAATTGTAGGAGTGGAATAAAAAGGAAGAAAAAAGAAAGAGAGAGAAAAGTGAAAAATATTGAATAAAGAAACCGATAGTATAAACTCTTACTCGTCCCTTAATTTTCCATTTTTTAAAAAAAATACTGTTTTTGTAGTCTTGTTAAAATATTCTGAATATGTGTGTAAATAAACAAAATATAAAAAGTTCAAAGTACATCACGTGATCATATATCACGTGACTCCTCTCCTATGATAACCGTAGCTACTCTAGGTATATCAAGTGACGAAATCCAATACTCTGATTGGTAGATGTCGTAACATGTGATTTATTACTATTCACAGTACCTTGAGCGTCGCTTCTCTGTTGGTGTAAGGATGGTTGGATGTGTCTTCTTTATTCTTGAATATGTAAGTAACGGAATACCTGTGTATTAATTTGACCCGGGAGAGCTGGGCCTAGTAACTATACAACTCATTAACATTTATTGTATTGATCTTGACAGACTTTGTATTTATTCGTGGTTCTGTACGCACCGTCTCTCGCACTGGAAGCTGGTAAGTTTTTAAGTTAATTACTTTCTTTTCATATACCGCTGTACTACTTGGCTACAGACTCGTTTGACGAGTTTTCAAAAACGTAATTTGAAAAATGTGTAACTTTAATAACAGACCCATGTGACGTCAAAACAGCTCAATTTAGACACAAAACAAGAATTTCAATCTCCTGATAATTGAAAACTTACCGTTATGTCCTCCAAATTGAGCCGCATTCCAACGTGTTGCAAGGGGTCTATTTCAGTGTTTTGATGTCCAACAGAAATGGCGTTGAAATCTATTGGCATCGACCCCACGTTAGATAAAGGCTTGTTTCATTTAGTGTTTATTATTTATTATTATTATTTATGTGTTTTTAGTGGCTGGTGTTCCTCTACCCGTGTCCATCTTGACTACTGGGGTTGTCTGTACCTTTTATACCAGCCTGGTTAGTATATGCCATCAATATCACCACACCACACCACACCACGCCACACCACACCACACCACACCACACCACAC